GGTATTTTGTGGAAGAGCCACACTCAAGGGGCCAAAGAGCCGCATGTGGCTCACGAGCTGCAGTTTGCCGACCACTGGCCTAGCCCAACTGCACCTCCTAAAGTATGGAAAGGGTCCTGAGACCCAGAGTAGCGTGAACACATCTTTAGTGCCAGAACATGTATGAACTAGCAGGTGTTTTCTGAGCCTTCATCCTTTGTTTCTTCACATTGTCTGTTAAGTTTGTTGTGGTGGCAAGATGACAGCAGAGATGCCCATTAGAGCCTTTGGAGGTGCAAGTTGGAAGTTCTGAGGGAAAAAATAAAGCTTGAGATCATTATCTAAATCATCTACAATGAGCACCTTTTCCGACATATATTTTCCTGCTTGCTAACAACTTGGTGTGCTTCAGATGACGTGCAGTTACATTTAACGTTTTTCAATCTGCAGATGAGTGTATGCTCATGATTTCAGTGCCAATTCTGAATGTGTGCATGTGTCTTTTACAGGTTCTGCCGTTCATATACCGCGCCATTGGCTCAAAACATCTTCCTGACAGTAATATAAGTTTTGTGCATTTTGATTCACATCCAGATCTCCTTATTCCTGTGAATATGCCAGCTGACACCGTGTTTGATAAGGAAACTCTTTTTGGGTAATATATGGTTTTGTTAATGATTGTTTATGTGCTTGAAATACCATCTGCAGTAGATAATAAGCAATTAAGGGAAATAGATTTTGTTAAGCTCATAAGTTTGCTTTGTTTGCCTTTTATATTTTATTTAGAGCTAGTGTTGACAGACTTTTTCTTAAAGAGCCAGGTAGTAGATATTTTAGGCTTGCTGGCCATATGGTCTCTGATGCAACTGCTTATCCCTGCCCTCCTAGTGTGAAAGCAGCTCTAGACAGTATGTAAACAAATGGCTGTGGTTTTGTTCCAGTAAAACTTTATTTACAAAGACAGGTGGCTCAGCCAATGTTTGCCAGATTTTGCTATAAAATACAGAATTTTAGAAAAAGAAGACACTTGGTAAGTTATTTGAGCCAGTTCTCCCTTCCTTTCCACTTTAAAACTGAGGCACAAGAAAATGTGCAATAATTTAATTTGTATATCTTGTCTTCCAGTATTGAGTTTTTTTCAACCTCCCAATTTGTTACTTTCAGGCCACAAATCCTGCTGATTTTCAGTTATATAGAATCATTGAGATGAAAGTGAAATTGGTAACTCTATTCTTCATGAAGGATCATACCTAATGTATTTCTAAATAGTTACTTATTAGTTTCTCTTCTGTAAGAAAGTTCCCTGAAATTCTGTCCCTGCCTCTTTAAGTACATATTTGTTAGAATGTAGCCTATTTGTACAATATAAAAAGTTACATAGCAGTAATTTTTCTGATTTATAAAATTAAAAGATAGATACTTGTGTGATTTAATTTTACCCTACTACATTTCACTTTTTCCAAAACCCCAATTCAGAGCACTAGTTTCTAAAGAAACATGGTAGCTCTGCCATTGTCCTTACTCTTTTATATTTAGAGGTTCTATGTCTTAGAAATTGAAAAGAATTATGAAGCAGGTATGCAGATTGTACAGTTAGTCATAGAATATTAGTTCTTAAACTTTTTAGTCTCAGGATTCCTGTATACCCTAAAAATCATTGAGCTTTTTCTTTAATGTGGGTTATATCTATTGATATTTACCATATTTGAAATTAAAACAGATCTATATAAAATATTAATTTCAAAATAACAATAGACCTCTATATGTTAGCCTTAATAATTTTATGGAAAAATAAATGTATTTTCTAAAGAAAAAAAATTTAGTAAGAAGAGTAATACTGTTTAAATTTTTATAAATCTCTTTTATATTTGCCTTTATAAAAAACAGATGGATTCTCATATCTGCTTCTGCATCCAGTCTGTTGCCATATGTTGTTTTGGTGGAAGTATATGAAAAAGATTCAGGAAGATAATTTTCATAGCCTTTTCAGATCATTGTGAATATTCTTTAATATTATACCGGCACTTGATAAGTATTAGTTTCCTAAAGCTTAACTAGACTGTAGAATCCAACAATTCAGATTCAAGTCTGAATAACCATAGTTTATTCATCAGTTTGGTATTTAGCCTGCAATTGAATCACAAGTGCTTTTCCTTGAGACAACCACTTACTTCAAAGTATGTAGCAGAAGTACTTTCTGTGCACTTCTCATTTTGTGATATAAAAATAGATATAAGCCACATTTTAAAATGTATACTCAAGATCAAGTTATAATCATGAAGGACATTCTTACCTGAAACTGACTTTGATGGAGTGGGGAGAGCATTAGTGCATGGTAGTGAAGAATACAATGACTACTAGTAGAGTTTGGTTCTATTACCTTGATTAATCTTAGGACATCAACCCACCATTGCTTTGCACCACCTGTGCAAATGTCAATACCATGAAAAAACGAAATAATGCCTTAGTGTTTTAGGAAAACTGTTTTAACTAGTGGTCACAAGAAAGGTCTCAGGCACCTCCTAAGGGTCCCTCAGATCATGCTCTGAAACCTGCTGTCTTAAAATATTATTGTGAATGAAATTACATTTGGAAAAAAATCACTCACTAATAGTTTTCATTCTTCCTCTCTGTTTCTCTTCCAGAGAATTAAGTATTGAGAACTGGATTATGCCTGCAGTTTATGCTGGCCATTTTTCCAATGTAATATGGCTTCATCCCACATGGGCTCAGCAAATCAGAGAGGGTACACATCACTTTTTAGTAGGCAAAGACACTTCTACCACAACAATCAGGTAATTTCCTCATATTTATGAGTATGAAAGGTTGAATGCTTCTATCTTATGTTGGATTCCTGCAATAATTTATAAGTATCTCAACATATACATAGAGTCAGAATTAGCCTCCGCTCTTCTAAAAAGAGTTCTCAAACACCAGGAACAGGTTTTCAAGTCTCTTGACCTTCTTCACACACCATCTATATTTTGTTACTGGTCAAGATTTTTGTTGTGTTTTTTTTCCAGTCCTCACCTGAGGATATGTTTGGTGGTTGTTTTTTTATTGATTTTTAGAAAAAATAGGAAGGGGGAGAGAGAAAGAGAAACATTGATGTAAGAGAGAAATATCTATCAGTTGCCTCTCACGGGCGCCAACTGGGAATACCGGGATCGAACCTTCAACCTTTTGGTGTATGGGACATAACACTCTAACTAATTGAGTCACCAGGCCAGGGTGCCAAGTCTGTTTTTGAATAACATGATCTTCATCATCTAGAATTTTAGCTCCATTGTTGACTAACTCCATTAAATCGTTGAAGTACCTTTTATATTTAAATATTTAATGATACATTTACTATTTTCTTCCAATATAACTATGATCTGCTGAATGGAGCAATTAGTGGTGAAAAAGCAGAATTATCTTACTTTTATTTTGTAATTTATTTATTGTTGATTTCAGAGAGGAAAGGAGAGGGAGGGAGAGATAGAAACATGAATGATGAGAGAGAATCATTCACCAGCTGCCTCCTGCAGGCTCCCTACTGGGAATGGAGCCTGCAACCTGGGCTTGTGCCCTTACCAGGAATAGAACCATGACCTCCTGGTTCACAGGTCGATGATTAACCACGAGCCACACCAACTGGGCTCTTTTATTTTATTTTTTATTTTTTTATAAATCAAATGACTAAAAAGTAGATTTGGTGTTTTAATTTTATTAACATGATTAGCTTTAGATAATCTAAATTAAATTACAGAATACTCTGGCAGTATACACGTGCAAATATTTTTGTTGTAAAGCTATATAACCAATGTTTTGTGTATCTTCTTAATTCTCTTGTGATGAGATGAATGTTTTAAGTAGTGGAACTATAACTTTCTATAACCTGGAGGATAGTGGGATTAAATGATAATACATTGAAAATGAAATAATCTTTCTCATTGAAAATGATAGTTTTTACTTCTGGCTTACCTTCATGATACGATTCACTTTTGTTATATATTATTATCAATTACACAAATAACTTAATTTTGTATATATGAAATTTTATTTATTGAGGATATAATACTAAATAAATAGGGTTCCTCATATAATAAATATTATACATAATAACAGCATATGTGAAAGAGTGGTAGGGTTTTTATCAATACTTCAGTGAGTAAGCCTGCTTTAACCTATAACGGATTTCTGCAAAATCAAATAATTTTGAGCAATCTGAAATAGACATTTGAAACTCAGTGTAATAACAATATTAGGAAGATTTTGATTTTCTCATGATCTTAATCCTACAAGTAAAAATTTATGAAAGAAACTCCCATACATGTAGGTATGCAGTCTGAAATGTGTATGTTTGTACTAATACTAACAAAGTAAAATATCCATTATTAAAGAAGAATACAGATTTAGGTTAAGCCTTTGTCTTTTTTAGGATGATACAGTTTTTAATAAGCCTGGACATTAGTTTTATTGCATCATTAATCTTTTGGGACAATTATGTCTTTTTCAATTTAAGGCTGTATATGTTGGAGTAGAGTGGGTGGAAATAACTATTAACCATTATTTTAGTTGGATAGAGCCTGCATTCACTGTTCATAATACTTACCAAAGCATAATATAGTTGAAAAGCTAAGATCATGCCAATGTGTCTAAAATCAGAAATCTACAACTTGTGAAATATGTTCTGCACGTGTACAAGATTTTTTTAAGTTGCTATTTATATTAAAATATTATGATTATATTAAGTTTAACGAAGCTTTGAAATACATCAGAGGGAGCTTCTAATATGAGAAATTATTTCCAGATGTGTAATTTTTCTCTTAAGTGATTTTCTTTGGGGGAGGGGGAGGGTGTTGGATAAAGTTTCAACTGGTATGAGAGAAAGCCAAGGCACCGGCTTGAACAGCATCATTTTCCTTTCTCAGATTAGTTTACCGCATACAATCCAGGGCCTAGATGGCAGTTCTGTAGTTTGGGTAACCCCAGTTCCTTCTACCTTTTTGCCCCATTACCTCTAGAATGTTGCCTTTGTCCTCATATTCCAAGTGGGCTTGCCACTTCCATGTCATAATGCCAGTCGGTGGGGAGGGGAGAGCAAGGCGAGAACTTAGTCAAATGGCCACACCTAGCTACCAGACAAACTGTGACTGGGCAGTTGTGTGCCCAGTTAAAAACTTGGGGAATGCTATTTCTACAGAAGAATAGGAAGTGCAATATTAAAGACAGCTCTCAGGTTTTGTCTAATATGTCCTTTCTTATAGATCTGCAATGCCGTGGAAATGCTATATGAAACAGCAGTTAATTTGTCTATTCATCTTTAAAATAGTTTTTTCCTCTGATCCAGGGTAACATTTGTCTAATTCCGTCCTTATAGATCTGCAATGCCATGGAAATGCTATATGAAACAGCAGTTAATTTGTCTATTCATCTTTAAAATAGTTTTTTCCTCTGATCCAGGGTAACAAGTACAGATCACTACTTCCTAAGTGATGGTCTTTATGTAACTGAAGACCAGCTAGAGAACCAAAAACCTTTACAATTGGATGTAATTATGGTAAAGCCATATAAACTCTGTAACAATCAAGAGGAAAACGATGCAGTGTCTTCTGCTAAGAAACCAAAGCTAGCACGGGAAGACGCAGAACACACTGCCTCTACTAACTGTGCCTCTTGTTCAGAAGGATTGGAAAAGGACACGGTGACCCAGAGAAGGGTCCACACCAGCCTGGAACCTTCATGTTCACGTTCTTCTGAGAGCCAGGAATGCCAGACTACAGTCAGCTCTGGAGAAATTCTGGAAATTTTGAAGAAAGGGGATGCATTTGTTTTAGATATTGACTTAGATTTTTTTTCAGTCAAGAATCCCTTCAAAGAAATGTTCACTCAGGTAAACATTTTTAAAATGTAGATCTTGAGAATTATATGACATTTCTGTAGATCAGGGATCAGCAAACTTTCTGCAAACAGCCAGATAGTAATGAGTGTATTGGAGGGTGTCTTATGGCCTCTGTCACATATTCTTCCTTGTTGTTCTTTCAAACCCTTTGTAATTATATACACCATTCATAACTTGAAGGCCATACAAAAACAGACCCCTGCTCTAGATAGTATTTATTATTTTGCATCTATTACTAGTAATTGGGGTGATGTGTGCATGGGTGGTTGAAAAAAAAAAGTGATATAATAGAAGAAAGTGTGTACATTAAAGAATGTCAGTCTCTTACCTATTCCCATTCCCTCAGATTCTTACCTCGAAACAAATACTATGGTCAGTTTTTTATGGTATCTTCCCAGAGATGATTTTATATATATATATACACATACACACACACACACACACACACACACACACATACATACATACTAGCACGGTTCACGGATTCATACACATTGAAAGGAAATTAATTAGAAGGTGGTCGGCAGGGCAGGACTGGGCAAGACAGGCCAGACACGCCCTGGAGCCAACCTCCCGTGGTCCCTCCCCGGCCAGCCGCACCTGGGGTGGCACCATGGCTCAAAAGGCATCTACAGAGTGAGCAGGGTCCCTCTGGTAGGCAGGGTCCCTCGGCCTGGACTCCCGGGATCAGCCAAAACTGGCTCTCTGACATCCCCTGAGGAGTCCCGGAGTGCGAGAGGGCACTCTGCAAAGTTGCTATTGTACAGGGTGTGGAACGCAAACACAAGTATTGAGTAAACCAGATTCGGGGCCGACAGTGCCCCAGCAACAACATAACCCATGGCCGAAGTGGAATCGCACAGCCCCGTGAGGAATCGGGCTCCTCCTCTCTGGTTTCAGAGTGCATCACCCGAGAACCGCTGCTGCCAAGTCACTGCAGCTCAGCAGCTCCTGGTGGTCAATGTGCTTCATAGCAGCTCGGCATCCCCTGGTGATCAGTGCACGTCATAGTGACTGATCGGACACTTGGCATATTAGCCTTTTATATATATAGATATACATACGTATATTTCAGAGAGGAAGGGAGAGGAAGAGAGAGATAGAAACATCAAAGATGAGAGAGAATCATTGATCAGCTGCCTCCTGCACACTCCACATCGGGGATTGAGCCCACGACCTAGGCATGTGCTCTGACTAGGAATCGAGCTGTGACCTCCTGGTTCATAGGTCGATGCTCACCACTGAGCCAGGCTGGCCAAGCCCAAAGATATTCTATGTCTATAAAACCCTGTGTGACAAATTTTTCAGTAAACAATGAGGTGCCTAATTACACATGTACTTTTTATAACTAATCTTTGAGTCCTGTGATCCTTAGGATACCTCAGCAGATCTTAAATGCAAATCACCAGACAATACCAGTATGCACTGATCTGAAATAAAATCATGTATTTGGGAAACTGATGAGTTCATGGTCCAAATGAGCATTCAAAGGTGCATTTTATGGAAATGTGTATCTGCTTGCCTTAGTGTTCAGAAAGTTGTCCCAGATCTATTTTGGGGAGATTCAAATTAACTGTCTTTTTTCAAGTTCAGTTTTTGATTTATAATGATGCTGCTGCACCTTACAATCCTTATTCTGTATACATATCAGAAGCTATTGTGATTTATCTAAATAATCATAGACCTCTACTTGTCGTGCCCAGATGGATAAAATTAACTCTGAAGAAATGATAATATTTACAATGAAATATGAATTATACATTTTGCCTGATTTTCCCAGATAGATCTTTTAATGATTATATAAGATGTTCTTATATCACAGCCATTTTTCACTTAAGCATATCATTGAAAAAATTAATTTTTTTCTAGTATATGGATTTTTTTGTGTTGTTTTTAGGAGGAATACAAAATCTTACAAGAGCTGTACCAATTTAAAAAGCCTGGCACCAACCTGACAGAGGTATCCTCCATTTATTTCTTTTGGGCTTATCTATTTGTCACATATTTAATAATATCTTAACAGTTTACTAGAGGGCTCTCAACTGTCCGAAATCTTTGTGTGTGTGTTTATTGGGGAAGTCTATGATTTGTACTTGGAAATCATGTTTTAATTAATTGAATTGAGATTTTTTATTTGTTTGTTTTACAGAAGAGGGTATTTTTTAAATTAAGTTTATTGGGGTGACATTGATTAATAAAACCATACAAGTTTCAAGTGTACAACCCAATAAAACAGCATCAGCATAGTGCATTGTACACTCACCACCTAAAATCAAGTCTCTGTTCCCGTTTATCCCCCCTTTGCCCACTTCCACTCCCCCCACCCTCCTTTACTTGTTTTTGAAAGAATAACTATAATCTCGGCTTTTCTGTGCATTTAAAGGAAGATTTGGTAGATTGTGTTGATACTCGAATTCACCAATTAGAAGATTTAGAAGCTACTTTTGCTGATTTGTGTGATGGTGATGATGAAGAAACTGTACAGAAATGGGCTTCAAACCCTGGGTAAGACCTTTTTTCTCCAACTCTACTATATTTCAGTCCTAGATAGATTGCTAGATTTACTAAATTGCTTTTAAAAATTAGTATTAAATTTCAACACAAATATACTAGTTAGCATTTATTATTTTCTGTGTGCTCAATATAATTCTAAGGTTTTCCTTGCATTACCTTATTTATTACTTATAACAATCTTATGGCTTCATTATTATCATTTCTATTTTATAGATGAGGAAACTAAGGCACAGAGGTTAAGTCATCCCAAATCACATAGCAAGTGGGTGTGCTTTTAGTCATTGTGCAGCAGCTGCCCCTATTATATACAAGATGTGGTGGGTTTCATGGAAGATTAAAGATGAGTAAGACAGTCCCTGTTCTAAGTAAAATAAAAAAATTTACTAAACTAGTAAATTATAATATGAAAACGTGCCTCTTTTTAAGGATAGCTCAACTATGAGTAGAAGAGTTTCTTTTCAAGCTGCCCATAGCCTCAAGGAGCAAGATTTGAGAGCTGAGGTTTTCATTGGGTCATTTATTTGGCTAATTCTCTCAGTGTCAACCTGAAAATAGGGAGACAAAAGTTCTTTTAAAGTGATCATCTATTTATTTGGGGGCAGAGTGAAGAATGCCTTTAGTATTAATGCTAGTTTGAAAGAATAGTAAGTGACATAAATATTATAGCTACCGTTCTCTAAAATAATTATTTAAGTTATATAAACTCACAAGACCAGGTAACTAAAATAAAACTGTCAGACACAAACTTTGTGTGCCCATGAGCATAGAAGACCAGAACCAGCTTATTTTCAAATTGATCTCCCACAAACAGACTATTCTCCACATGTAAATGTGAGAAATCTGTCATAAGGTAGCAACAAAATATAGTTAGAATCAGTAGTTCGAGCCACTAAGATTTGTTATGTAACAGTTATTGAAAACTAGAGGCCCAGTGCACAAATGGAAACTAGAAAAGCAGTTATCTCTGGGGAGAGGAATTATTTGGCTAAATGATGAGGGAGAGATACCTTCCTTTGCTATGTATTACTTATGCATAATCACATCAGTAAATATTAACCCGGCACTTTAACATCAGTTCAAGCTTTTTTCAACACTGTGTGCTAAAGGCACTTACTTTTCTTGCTGATCAAAGTGACTTTTAAAGTCACAGTAGAACTTGCATTTTTAAGGAAAAGGAAAAGCTCAGTTTCTCAAGTGCTAATTTTCAATCTTGAACACAATCTGTAACCTTTTTAGGTAAGAAAACAGCAGGGAACTTTTTTTTTTAAAATATATTTTATTGATTTTTTACAGAGAGGAAGGGAGAGAGATATGTGCCCGCAACCAAGGTACATGCCCTTGACCAGAATCGAACCCGGGACCCTTCAGTTCGCAGGCCGACGCTCTATCCACTGAGCCAAACCAGTTAGGGCGGGGGAACATTTTTAAGATGACATTTGAACAGCGTTATCTTTCCTTTCCCAACAATCATATTAATGGCGAATTTTAAGGGTAATGTATCACTGGCTGCTGTAGTTTTGGTTGAGGTGCTGTGATGTTTAATTGAGCTGTGGCTGTTTTCCAGAATGGAATCACTAGTTCCACTTGTGCAGAGTTTGAAAAAACGGATGGACGTGCCAGACTATGAAATGGTAAATTATTTTATATTGAAGTAAAAAATTGGCCCTTTCCAAAGGCATTTCTGGGTAGAAAAGTGTGTTTTTTGTTAAAGTAGGTCACTTTTATTCATGTTCTTGGGAAGTGTGAATGAATATTTTTTAAGTGGTGAAAAAGAAATACATGCTTTTTAGAAGCTGGAACATTTTTCATTTTTCTAGGAATAACATATTTTTCCCAATTTTACCTATGAGGCAAAAGTGCTGTGTTTTTGTTTTTGTGGGGTTTTGTTTTTGTTTCTGTCAGATCTCTTCTTCCCAGAGAAAAGAAAGAATACAATTTTTTTTTTTTTTTTTTTTACTCCTTTCCTCCTTTGTTTCCTGACTCTGTAAAATTTTCTGATTATAAAAACCAAACAGAAAGACCCAAGAAAGCACTCTGGTGAGTTGGTTCTTACATCTTAACTGAATCAGCTGTATAACTGACTGTTTGCCAGCCGTGACTTGAATTCTGTGGCAAAAGAGAATACCTTTAATGATAATCTCTTTTATTTTGATATCATTCTGCAGTCTTTGAAGTATAAATTTTCCCAGCTGAAGTTCATGTGCCTTTTCTCTGATTTTGAGCCAGAGCTCAGACACACACATACCCCCAGCCCCAGCCTTGTGTTCTTTTATTTCTGGTGCTTCTTAATATTTTATTTAATCATGGAATACAATTGAACCACCTAATTTGGACTGAAGTTTACATATTGACTTAATGCTAACTTTATGAGAATAAAAAATACCAGCAAAAGAATATTTTGGTTAAATTGTGGCTAATCTAAGACTCATCTTTTTTTTGTGTACATTCAGTATTATTTTGTATTGGAATCAGGTGTACAGCATAGTGGTGAGACAATCATATACTTTACAAAGTGTTCGCCCAGTATTTCTAATACCCAGCTAGCACCATACATAGTCATCCTTCTTTTTAATGGCAGTTACTAAGAATGAAAGAGAAGCCCTGACCAGCAGAGCTCAATGGTTAGAGCATCGGCCTGGGCACCGAAAGGTCACAGGTTCAATTTCTGGTCAAGGGCACATACGTGGGTTGCAGATCCAACCCCAGCTCCTGGTCAGGGAACATGTGGGAAACAACCAATTGATGTGTGTCTATCACATCGATGTTTCTCTCTCCTTCCGCTCCCTTTCTTAACCTCCTCCTCTCCCTCCCACTCTCTCTGAAAATCAATGGGAAAAATATTCTCACTCCTTGGGTGAGGATTAAATAAAAAATAAAGAATGAAAGAGAAGACACTTAGGGTTTAAAAATGCTTGCGCTCATGTGATATTAATGCATGTGACTTCATGCAGATCTACTTTCATTGTTCCATTGCATCTGGGTTTTGTGATGGTTGGGAGGGTTTTATACACTGTTGAGAGAAGGGATGTCATGGGCTCAGTCACCGATTATGTAATCAAATATGGCATGCCTATAGCTGCAGGGTTAGGACACTGAGTGTTTTAATCAATTTAGTAGAAAAGATCATGCAGAGTGTCATTTACTACATTGACGGATCATTGCCAGTTAAATCTTTGATGTTAATCCAATAAAATAGCAGATTAGTGTTTTCCCCATGCTTTGCACTCATGTACGCTAGGCAAAACTGACATATTTGAGATCCAGTTTTCCAGAACTTCAAAGCAGAAGCTGCAAAATGCCAGCTTGTGAGCCACTTCCAGCTTTCAGGCATATTGAGTTTGGTGAGTCGTTTATATTTAAAACGCATGTATAGATATCAGCAGTATGTGCTTATACACAAAGGATACACAAGAAACTAGGAACAGTAGGTTAAATAAGATAGGAAGACTCTCCCTTATATTCTCCTAAAGCTTTGAATGTAGTACTAAGTGCATCTATTTAAAAAGAAAATAATACACTGGGAGAAAAGGTAAGGTGAGAATATTATGTATAGTTTTATATCAGCTTTTAGAATCTAGGTGAAATGGATAATTTGCTAGAAACTGAATTGTCAGAAAGACGTAAATACAGAAACTGAATGAATCCATAATCATAAAATAAACTTAAAGAGTAGTTAAAGAACTATTTCTAGAAAAGGCATCAGGCTCAAATAAGAGTATAGGCCAGTTCTTACAAACTTGAGAGAATAAGTAACTTCTGTGGCACAGAAATTATTAAGGAAAAAAATCATCCCAATTCACAAAAATATTAAAAGATTTGTCAGCAAGGCAATTAATGGATAAAGAATCTTCTAAAAACAATAAAGCCTTACAGTGTAATTTTTAATTGTCTTATTTTCAGGTTCATCAGGCTGGTCTAACCTGTGATTATTCAGAACTTCCTCACCATATCAGCACAGAACAAGAAATTGAGTATCTTATTCAGGCTGTATTTTATTTACTGAAAAATTTACCAAAACCTACTCTTGTAACAATTGCAAGGTAAGTGTGATAGCCTGAATAAAGGCCCATCAAAGATATTCATGTCCTAATCTTAAGAACTTGTGAAAATGTTATATTGGCAAAAGGACCTTACAGGTGTTGATTAACTCAAGGATCTTAAACTATGGAGATTATCCTGGATTATCTCTGTGGATGGAATGTAATCACGGGGATCCTTACAAGGAAGATAGGTTAAAAGTCAGAGATTGGAAGGTGCAAGGATGTTGGCTTTGAAGATGGAGATGGGGCCACAAGGTCAGGAATGACTGCAGGCAGCCTATAGAAGGTGGGAAGGCAAAGAAAGCCAAAAGAAGAAATGCAGTCCCGCAGCACCTTTATTTCAGGACTTCTGACCTCCAACAAAACTATAATAAATTTGTGTTGCTGTAAGCCTCTATGTTTGTGGCAAATGTTATAGCAGTGACAACCTTTCTAGATGAATTAATACAAATCTCCCTGAATGAATCTGCTGATTACTGATACAGTAATTTTTTAATCTATTTTTTTACCTTCTCAGCTCAATTTCAGATGTATTTTCTCTTCCCTCTTAGTAATGGTTAGCAAAGAACATGTTATCTTGTCTTTGAAGTTGGTGTTTATTATTCAAATAAACACTAAACACGGGAATTCCCATTTCTGTGTCCTACAGAGGAATATTTAGGTGCTGCCATGTTTTAGATTTAAACATACTAATGTGCTGAATAGTTAAAACAACAAAAACTTCATTTTCTATGTTCATATTTGGGCTGGTTTTATAGAAAACTGTTAGATTCTAAAATAACTGCTTTAAATACTCAAATAATGTTTATGTTTTGTATGACAAGCATTTTGTAACATCTTTTATGGTCCTACAACAAAATTCATAGGTAATCTAACTGTGCATAATTTTAAAGTATATGGATATTATACATAATATATACATAATACAATTGTCTTAGTCCATTCAGACTACAGTAGCAAAATATCATAGACCTGTTGCTTATATAAACAACAGAAATTTGTTTCTCACAGCCTAAAGGCTGGGAAGTCCAAGATGAAGACACCAGCAGATTCAGAGTTGTGGTGAGAACCTGGGTCCTGGTTCATAGAAGCCATCCTCTCCCTATAACCTCACGTGGTGGAAGGGGTGAAGGAGCTCTCTGGGATCATGGTTGTAAAGGCACTAATCTCATTTATGAGATTCCTACCCTCATGACCTAATCACCTCCCAAAGGCTTACCTCCAGATATGATCACATTGGGAATTAGGTTCCAAATAATGAATTTCATGGGGGAGGGAGGGTACACAAAGACTTAGTCTTAGTCTATAGCAGTAACCTACTTATATACCTAATTTAAATATATGTTCATATATGTATATACACAGAAATATCATTGTAACATAAAGGAGGAGTGAAAGTCATTGATAAAAGTAATACATATTAAAACAGAGCCACAAAATGTAACAGTTACAAACGCAGACAGATACTCACATGTTGTATGAGCCAAATAACTTGAACGACGCTGCCATAAGTGACAGTCTTTCTAGTTAAAACAGTCTCTTGGTCCAATCTTCCTTCAATTAACAGAGTAGTTTCATTTCTGAAAATTTTAGTACATATTGAATCTGTTTTCAAAAATACTTTCTTCATATGATACATTCTAGGTTCAAACAATGAAAACCAGGACCCGGTTTTGCACTCTGTGAGTGCTCTGTGGGCTTGGAAAGTATTGAGGACACAGAACGGTCATTCATATTTATGTTGCAGGACTATCCTGCATATTGTAAGCATTCTTGCAGCCCTGTCCTCTTTCTCTGGCCCCTAATTATGATTTGATAATCAAAAATGTACCTACAGAATTCCAAAACTCCCTGTTGGTACTCCCATCAAGAACCACTCCAGCCCTGGCCAGTGTGCTCCGTGGTTAGAGTGTCCGCACCAAAGGGTCCCGAGTTCTATCCCAGTCAAGGGCAGTACCAGGATTGCAGGTTCCTTCCCCGGCCCTAGTCTGGGCAAATGTGGGAGGCAACCAATCGATGTATCTCTCTCATCAATGTTTCTTTCTCTCTCTCCCTTCTTCTCTCTCTCACAATTAATGGGGGGAGGGGAGGGAGGGGAAGAACCAATCTAATAGTGTTAAAGTGGCCAGAAATTTTTTTAAAGCATTTAACAGCCCCTTATTTGTCATAAATTAATCTTTTGTATATGATACTTCTTCAAAGTAGGTCTTTATCCATATGTTTGACAGTATTTAATAATTTAACATTGTTGTGTATCATTTATTATGTGTTAAATATTTACATCAAGCCATAAAAATCACCTAATCACCAGAGAATGGAATGAGTTTATCACAAGTAAGGTTATTTAGTAAGACTGTTACTTGTTCAGTTTTAAATACTTGTGATAGGGAGTAGGCTAGATAACTCATCCCATTTCTATCTATAAAAGTTTCTATACCGCTCTTCCCAATCCGTCCTTCTAAATGGCTACCTCACCCAGGTCAGAACCAGGAGACACTGATCAAATCATTTCAGATCTTAGTCCAGCTCTCTTTGTCAATGACGTCATAACTGCCTGGCCATTCAAGTTGTCCTTGGTGATTCTAGAAAAACTCCCAAAATGTCAATTTCTGTCCCATCCACTTGGCTCTTTTCCTCAATACTTACCACGTAGGAAATCAATCCCTACACCAGCACATTCCCACACTTCATTTTGGACAATCCTATACACTTGTGTAGTTAACAGATTGTTTTTAGAAGCAGATCCCTTTTATCGGTTGGAAAGCCTCTTCCCTCCTAAGTTCTAGCCCCAATGTACACATAGAAGAAGGGAAGGATGCCAGTCACTACAATAATGAGCCCCAGGATTCCCAGCAACATTTCCCTCTCAGGGCAACAGCAGGCCAGTGAGGAAGCACCGGGCCTTTGAAGATGGGCCCTGTGCATGTTAATCTTTCTCGGTTTCAGGTTCCTTTAAAGGGAAGGTAAACGTACCTGTTTCTTGGTGTGGCTGAGAAGATTAAAGAACATAGTTGTGTCATGTACCTGACATGAATAAACATTTAGTAGCTTTCAACTGCTATTATTCCAAAATTTAGCATACTTCCTATTTTATATTGATATCAACACATACAGGCTTTTCCTCACTGCACAGTGATCTCATCCTATTTATGTGGGATTTTGTTCTTTTTTCTCTTTTTTCCAGGTCAAGTCTGGATGATTACTGTCCTTCTGAGCAAGTGGACGCCATTCAGGAAAAAGTCCTCAGTGTGCTCCGCTCCCTCTATGGGACTCTAGACCTCCACCTGGTGTACTCAGCAGAGTCCTCTCCACCTTGAAACAGCAAAACACTGGACTCCTATTACATTGCGATGTAGTAGCAGGTTTTCATTAACTTATTTGTAAATGAGTCTTCCAGAAAACACTTTGTTTTTATATTAACTTTGACTTAAAATCCTTCAGGTATCGTCAGTTGTTGAATGATGGCAGTTTTGTTGGCATCAAGACTACCCCTGTTGCTTACCTTTCTTCCTTTCTGTAATTGTCCTCACTTTTGTGAGGGTGTTTTGTTTTTCCTCTTTTCCCTTTTTCCTGTAAGTCGGTTAGACTGTATGAGATTCATTAATTCATTGATTTATTCACTCAACTAGCTGACATTTATTGAGACATGTGCCAGACATAATTCCGTGCTGGTGCTGGGTATATGGTAATGAACAGAACAAACATGGCCCTGCCCTTTTGAGGGACAGCTAAGAAACAAATCATGGAAGGACAGCCACAAACATGGCCTTATAGGAAAGTAATATTCTTAAAAGCTACTACCAAAATAATAATAACAACAATAAAACAAACTTGCCAGTTCATGAAAATTTTACAGGAAGTCTACCTCTCTATGAGTGTTTGTTCTGTAGCCCAGCTCTTGCTAAAAATGCTCTCAGCATTGTTGGTTGAGGAGGTCTATTTCAGTAAACTCAACCAAACAAAAATTAACTCTAGTTTGCTAATCAGAAAAGCCATTCTGGAGTTTTGGCCTCCATGAAGGTAAGTGTGAGCATTGATTGTCATTATAGTTCGTTCCTAAGTGCCACTTTATTGGCAGTCTGGGTAGATACTTTTTTCAAATAAACCAGCTCTTTATGTAAATAGTAGGGAAGAAATTTAAGTCCTTCCTTCTGGCCTACCATAAATACTGCCTTCCACCAGCCTCCCATGACTAAGAGAGCCTACCTGACTCGCTCTTACAGTAATCATGGAACTTTTCATTTACTTAATTGGCCAAAGTCTCCCCTTTAGTATCCCTCATGTTCAGTAATCATTTTTACCTACTTGATTTCTTTTTCTTTAAAAGGTAGGATGACATTTATAGAAGAAAAAAACCATTATTCCTCAGTCCTAACACAGTAGTTGTCTTCATTTTTGCATGTAACTTTCAGGCCTTGTGTACCTGTTGAGTTGCATGTCACTAAAATTATAGTGTTACCTAACTTAATGGCCGGTAGCCACAGTCACATTACCATTACCACTCACTAGATGGCAGCAGATCCCATTTTTCCAATGATTCTGTTTTTCTTGTCACCAAGTTGATTTTCCAAGCCTGATAGTGTGAATGCTTATTTCTGTTGTGAAAAGCAAAGCAAAGTGCTTTAACTTTCTATTTTGGTAGAACATTATGTGCCAAAAAGTTTTATTTCTCTATAAGATCAGAATTGTAAAATAGTGCTATTTATTTTTAAATTTTTATTAGAGTTCTGTAAACAGATGTTACTTTTACGAGTAAATTAATTTTGTGTGCTAAAAGAAATAAACAGGTGTGTATTGAGGTTTTGAAATTTTAAACCAAACTGTAGTATTAATTAATTATATATAATTTCTGTGTGTTCATAGCATTGATCTTATGGGTCTGGTTTAGCTAGTAGTCATTTATTATAATTCCCATGAACTGATGTGATTCATCATTGTTTTAACTCAGGTAGAACAAGAGGGCATCAATTTCCTTTTAGGGACACTTGGATTGTTTAGTTCTCATGCTCTGTAATTCTTTTAGAAGAATAAAATTCAGTCCCTACTTGTTGACTAAAACCAACTCAGCAAATTATGTCTGAGTCTTGCTACTACTTGTACTACCTTTGCTTATTTCAAATAGGAAAATATTTAATTTATCAAGACATCCTTCATATGTATTCTAAGTACCAATGAGGAACATCACAGTACAATGTTTGGATTAGGCACGAATATCATTGAAGCATGGGCTTTTGAGTGGCTTCTTTAAAAAGTGACTTAAATGTAAGCATAGGCCATAGCTTTGATATCTTAAGGTGTTCTAGATCCTCAAGGAGCTCGTGGTCAAAGTCCTTAATTCTTTATATGATACTAGAGGCCCAGCGCACGAAATTCGTGCATGGGTACGGTCCCTAGGCCTGGCCTGCGATCAGGGCCATCTTCCCCGGCTGCCCGAAGCTGGCTCCACCCCCTGCCACCCCCCACCCCTCGTTCCCTGTTCATCATCAGGTGATGGGAGCCTGCAGGCCGGGGAAAGGGACCAGGAGGTGGTCAGTGCGCCTCATAGTGACTGGTCTAGCGATCGTTCTGGTCGTTCTGCTGTTAGGGTCAATTTGCATATTACCCTTTTATTATATAGGATTATCTCTGAATACTGGTTTTATTTTAGCAGTTGTGGTCCTAGATTGCTGGCAACATACTCATCGTACTGCCAACAGTTTATAGTCAGTGGCATGTTCCTTAGTACAAGATTGCCTCGTTTTTCTGTGGGACATCTTCATCGTTGGCCTGCGGGGCCCTGCCTGGCCATCCTGAGCAGCAGCGCTCTTGTAGTGCTTCTGAACTAACAGGTCCTGGCTGCTCTTGGCTCACTGCTGCCAGCTGCACTCCCAGGACTCCAAACACCAGGGCCATTCTCTCTCTTTACTCCCATCTGAGTTCAACAAATGAAGTTGTGACTAAGGTTTCTGTGACCCTCGATTCTTAGGAGAGAGTTCCCTGGACAGTGAATATTCTGGCCACTCGCTGGAAGGTTGCCTCTTACCATCACAAATTAGGGAGCTGGCATTTTGCACATCAGTATTTCATAAGTTTGGCTCCTGTGATTCAGAAGCAGGAACCCACTGCAGAGGGGAGGCAGGCCTGAGGCTGCCCGGTTTCACTTCCTTCGAAAACCTTCCCTGTTGAGTCCTCAGCCCATCACCAGCGACAATTCCCATGTCTCTGACTTCAAAATGCTCTTCCACAGCCAGCAGATCCCTGAAGCTATCAGCTGTGAGCCATCAGCACTGCTCAGAAGCCTTGGTGCCTCAGTTACTATGAATCTCGCCAAGATTGAGACAGGTACATGTCATGACTGAATAGAGTAGAGCATAGTGGTAAGTGTGCGCTTCAGGGGGCTGCCACCTGGCCCCAGTGTCCCCTTCTCTATGCCCAGCTCCTTTGTATTATAATGAGAGAATGTAACTCATCAGGGTATTGTGAGGAACAACATATATAAAGCCCTTACACAAGAACCATTCAGTAAACGGGCTGTCATTTCCAAACTCGGCCCTAATTAGAATATCCTATGGTGGCTATTTCAGGTCTCAGCTGCTCTCCTCATGCCTCGCCTAAATACTGATTTTTATTAACTCCCCATTAGCTTCCGCTTATTTCTGTTAATAATAGAATTTCAATTGCTTTATTCAAAGAGGGCAGGTCCTTGCCCATAAGGAAAGAAGTAACAGGGCTTTAAGCAGAGTTGCCATATGTTTTAACTCAGGTAGAACAAGAGGGCATCAATTTCCTTTTAGGGACACTTGGATTGTTTAGTTCTCATGCTCTGTAATTCTTTTAGAAGAATAAAATTCAGTCCCTACTTGTTGACTAAAACCAACTCAGCAAATTATGTCTTTGCTTATTTCAAATAGGAAAATATTTAATTTATCAAGACATCCTTCATATGTATTCTAAGTACCAATGAGGAACATCACAGTACAATGTTTGGATTAGGCACGAATATCATTGAAGCATGGGCTTTTGAGTGGCTTCTTTAAAAAGTGACTTAAATGTAAGCATAGGCCATAGCTTTGATATCTTAAGGTGTTCTAGATCCTCAAGGAGCTCGTGGTCAAAGTCCTTAATTCTTTATATGATACTAGAGGCCCGGCGCACGAAATTCGTGCATGGGTATGGTCCCTAGGCCTGGCCTGCGATCAGGGCCATCTTCCCCGGCTGCCCGAAGCTGGCTCCACCCCCTGCCACCCCCCACCCCTCGTTCCCTGTTCATCATCAGGCGATGGGAGCCTGCAGGACGGGGAAAGGGACCAGGAGATGGTCAGTGCACCTCATAGTGACTGGTCTAGCAATCATTCTGGTTGTTCTGCCGTTAGGGTCAATTTGCATATTACCCTTTTATTATATAGGATTATCTCTGAATACTGGTTTTATTTTAGCAGTTGTGGTCCTAGATTGCTGGCAACATACTCATCGTACTGCCAACAGTTTATAGTCAGTGGCATGTTCCTTAGTACAAGATTGCCTCGTTTTTCTGTGGGACATCTTCATCGTTGGCCTGCGGGGCCCTGCCTGGCCATCCTGAGCAGCAGCGCTCTTGTAGTGCTTCTGAACTAACAGGTCCTGGCTGCTCTTGGCTCACTGCTGCCAGCTGCACTCCCAGGACTCCGAACACCAGGGCCATTCTCTCTCTTTACTCTCATCTGAGTTCAACAAATGAAGTTGTGACTAAGGTTTCTGTGACCCTCGATTCTTAGGAGAGAGTTCCCTGGACAGTGAATATTCTGGCCACTCGCTGGAAGGTTGCCTCTTACCATCACAAATTAGGGAGTTGGCATTTCGCACATCAGTATGTCATAAGTTTGGCTCCTATGATTCAGAAGCAGGAAGCCACTGCAGAGGGGAGGCAGGCCTGAGGCTGCCCGGTTTCACTTCCTTCGAAAACCTTCCCTGTTGAGTCCTCAGCCCATCACCAGCATAGGTAGTTTGATTTTCTGCCTAAAACTCACATCTAACATTTGACTTTATTGCCAAAAACTGTGGATATGAACTTTTGGTCCCTAAAAAGTATTGCTTTTAGGTTATAGCTTTGCTGACTGTTGGAAGAGCAACACTTTCTCACTCCTGATTTCCCTGCCATGTGGAAGCACCTTCCATCACAGCCCCGGCCTTGCTCTCCCTTTCATCCACCCCTCCCTAGGCAAGGAGGAGTGAGAGGAGAATTGCAGGATGCGTCCTATGGGGGAGGCTTACAGATGAGATCGGGAGCGTTCAGGGTGGTATGGCCGTAGACTGGGAGAGGCTTACAGTTGTCCAGCGGTGCCAGCAGATGGCAGAGTCTATCTCTGGGGTGCAGTGTTAGAAGCCAGTTGTTGCCACAGACTTAAGCCACGTTCTCTTAATACCAGTTTTATCAGTAATAACATTTTTTTCTCCATCTGCCTGAATGCCTGTGCCTATTTTTAGGATGTTTAGGAATTTAGTGGAGAACGGTGATGTCCCTGGGCTTCTTCACATCCAACATGACAGTGCTTGCATGGAAACTCCATAAACACAGGAGCTCTTTGGAATTCCAATCAAGAAGGAGGACGCCAAACCGGTTTGGCTCAGTGGATAGAGCGTCGGCCTGCGGACTGAAGGGTCCCAGGTTCAATTCCAGTCAAGGGCATGTACCTTGGTTGCGGGCACATCCCCCAGTAGGAGGTGTGCAGGAGGCAGCTGGTCGATGTTTCTCTCTCATCGATGTTTCTAACTCTCTATCCCTCTCCCTTCTTCTCTGTAAAAAATCAATAAAATATATTAAAAAAAAAAAGAAAGAAGGAGGACATTCTGTGACCATCCTGGACAAACATACACATACCTTCTCACTATACAGTCTGTTCTTCTGCTATGAGTTAGATGTGTTAAAACGTCGTTAAAGACTTATTTTGCTTGTTAAGTGTCTTTCTTGATGTCAGACTGGTGGTTTACTTTCATTTGACACAGCATCCTCGTAGACGTCCTACACAAGCAACAACCAGTTATAAAATACTAGTATAATAAACCTTATAATAGCATAACTTTGCCCCCAAAAAGATACCTTGTGAAGAAATTTAAAAATTACCACCTATTCTTTAAAGGAAATATTACCAAGTTATTGAAGAATATACATGAAGGGGAAAGGGATGTGTTTATATAAGAAAATTCATTGTTATAAAGATGTCAACCCTTCTGATATCAAACTACATATAATGCAATTTCAATAAACATACCAATGAGATTTTACTTTAACTTGTGACACTGGTTCTAAAGTTCATATGGGAAAATAACTATGCAAGAGAAAACAGAAAAAAAATGTCAAGTAAAACTTAAGGTATTAATTATACTATGTACCAAAATACATTATAAAACTATTATATTAGTTAAAAATAGTGCATTACTAGCATGTCTGCAGGCAAATAGGTAAGTGGAACATAATAGTGTCCAGAAATGGACCTAGGTCAGTTAGAGTAAGGATATGTGGTTTAAGAAGGAAAAATAGCCCTGACCGGTTTGGCTCAGTGGATAGAGTGTCGGCCTGCGGACTCAAGGGTCCCAGGTTCGATTTCGGTCAGGGGCATGTACCTTGGTTTCGGGAACATCCCCAGTGGGGGGTGTGCAGGAGGCAGCTGATTGATGTTTCTCTCATCGATGTTTCTAACTCTCTCTATCCCTCTCCCTTACTCTCTGTTAAAAAAAATCAATAAAAAATATATTTTTAAAAAAAAGGAAAAATAGAAAACTAATGGCTTAGATAAAGTGAAAGATAACCTCATTTTTATAAAGTCCAACAAAACATGTTCCTGCTCATCAGGCTCTCGGAGCCAGGATGCTGGGGTCAGGCTCCTTGCATCTTCAGCTCCGCCATCCGCAGTGTGTGTCTTCCCAAGTCTTTCTGGAGGACATCTCCACTCCATCTACCACAAGGCAGAGAGGATGGGGGTGGGGGAGTATCACATGCAGAGGCTGTTATGGGCCCCGCCCATCACTCCTAATGCAGCAGAGGCCGGGAAATTGCCCTGGTGTGTGTGTCTAGAAAGAAGAGGGAACAGATTTGGTAAATACCTA